ACACGGTTTTATGCAGAGATTTCATGGATTTAGGCTGATTTCATTCCCCCCATAACACCACTTAGCTGAAAGTGTTATAACAAATGCCTAGATACAGTGTGACTCAAAGCTTACAAAACTAAATACCAAAGGCCTCGGTCCTTTATTAGAAGCCAATCTGACTTCAGAAGCAATGATTTTAGAAAGTCCAAGTAGCAAAACCTTCCCAGGAGTAGTGGGAACAGAGGATATGAGGAGTTTAGTGCTACCAGGAATAGCCTGGATTTCTGAATCTTGTTTCCTCCAATGACTGTGCTATTTGGTTCCCTTCTATCTTCACCCAAAAAGCATTTCAGTTCCTCTGCCAATTTCAGCCAAATTTCAGGGGTGGAGACATTCAGTTCCTATAGATTTTTTGCAGAGCTGGCAGAAGACAGACAAATTAAAGCCCTTCCCCAGAGAACGCAATAGTCTCTTCTGATCAGCCAAACTGCACACGAGGTTAGAACCAGCCAGACTGCATTGTCCCTTTCATTCTTGTTTTTTCACCCATCCACAACCCATGTAACCTAACCTCCAACTCCTGTGCCCTAGCAGGCACCTCCTTCACCTGCTGCAGCAAAACACAGCCCAAGACCCGGTCAGACTGCAGATGAGGACCTGAAGATTGCACCCCAAACGGGTGGAAGCCACAAGGCCTATCGACAAGGAGAGTAGGAGGAGCCAGAGACAGAGTTAATACAGATGAGCAGCTCCACAGCTGCTTACTCCCCACACCAAAGCAGAGAAGATGATTCAGCCAAATGAATGCACTCAACAACTGAAAGAAACTTACAGCTCACTCTGCTGGAGGCAGAGGATGATTCTTGTGCTGCTGCCTTCTTTGAAATGGCCCTGCTGATAGACCTCCGTATCATTCTCTCTCTTTTGCTAGCCAGTGAATATTTTTCTGCCAAGGAGGCCCTACGGCTCTTGTGGGGGCCACCCACAAAACTTCGGCGTCCAGAGCTATGACGCGTTTTGGATCTCACTGTAGTTATTTTGCTGTCAGAGTCCTGGAAAAGCACCTTTTCGAGGCCAGGAGATCGATCTCCTTGGAGCATGGCAGGATCTCCATTTCTAGCAACTCTGGGAGTGGAGGTACTTGCTCTTCTTTTGGGGGCCTCCTCCTGCTCCCTCGCTGTCTGGCCAGCCAGGATTGCAGCAACTGAAGACACATCGTGCAGCTCAGTGGCTGCATCCGCCTTGGACAACTGCTCCCCCATAACAGCCTTACAGGCTGCATCACTGCTGTCAGCACCCTGAGGGCAGTCCTGACAATCCGTCTTCGCCACAGGAGCTTGTGCTTCTGCTGGCCATTTCCCAGTCAGTGCTGGGAGCTCGGTTTTAACGCTGGCCTGAGACCTCACCACACAGTTGGGCACAGACACCTCTTCCCCCTGACGGACGGTGTTCTGGGGCTGCTCTTTGCTGTGGCGCTTTTGGGAACTTGGCTTGGAAGATGCTGGCTTGATGCTGCTTCTTCTTCTGGACAACCTTGAATAAAAACAATTTAAAATGAAGCAATGAAGAAGTCTCCCACTCCCAAATGATTTTTAAAGAAAAAAGCAGACAAGTTTTGAAGTGAACCTGTAAGGCTTCTTCCCTCCACCATTCCCCCTCACAACCCATCTCTTATCACTGGTGAAATGCAGGAGCTAAACCTTGAGAGCTCACAGATGCACTCCGACAGATTTAGCTGGAACAGTTTAGGAATTGCTGCTTACGGCTCTCTGCTGCCTGCAAGATGTTTTGTGCTGGATGTTACTACTCTATAGCATAAGCAAGGATGCAGGGCACATACCCTCACTGCAACTGTCCCAGCTACCAGTCTGATGTGCTGGGTTGACTCACAAATAAAGGTTGTATCAGATGGACACAAACTGCAGCAGCTGAGGTACCAGGACACTCGTTGCTCTTTGCAGACAGTAAGCCACAGCCCCAGGTGGAGCTGACACCAGGGGACAGTAAAGTCATACTGGTACAACCAGCTCGATCCTGTTTGCCTGGAACAAAGTACAGACATCCACACAGGGAGGGATTTTGGATCTAAGATATCGCAGTCTCCCATGATCAGCTCTGTGTGGAAGTCTCTCCTGTAGAGATCCACAAGATCCCAGCTAGAAACGGAAGGCTGTGCTGCTCTCTGACAGGTTGCTCAGCATAAAACACATCACAAGCACTGGGGAGGTAGGGACACAAGGGCTGAGAAAACATCCGTGGCTCTAAACACAGTTTGTGAACAGGCTGGGAAATGCAGCAATGCTGCCATACATGTGGTACTTGACAGCGTAATCCTGAGGAAGACAACAAAAAAATACCTGTACAGTTAAGACTCATTAACTCTTTGAATTACTGCTATTTAAGAGAAAAATTATCCAGTACAGTAACTGTCTCTAGCTCTATTGCTTCAGTGAAACCTGACCAACTACATGCATGCTTGGGGAATTCTGGCAGTGAAATCCTCTTTGCTGCATTAGGTAACTTGTCACGAGAGGATGGAGCCACACACTTGATCAGCAAGTCAAGGAGATCAGGTGGACAAATCCAAAACCAAAGGACAACTTAGGTTGTCCAGAGAAAGGCAGCTTCCGATGCCAAAGTGACCCGGACGTAGCCAGGTAAAGGGTGGAGACTGGAGTCAAGGACGAAATGGAGAGCTAGCGTGGAAGTGCGCAACAGCTAGAAAAGGCAGCTAAGAAAACCCACTGCGATGTAAGAGCAAAGTTCTACAGCCCCTGGTGCACGACCACCAGCAAGCACTGACTTGTCCTACTGCCAGTATTCACGTGGATACCCCCTGCCCTCCTTCCACCCTCGTTCTCTTAATTTCTCATTCTGACCTCTAGCAAGAAGAGGGACTTTTTGCTAGAATTAACAAAAAAGACTAAGTGGGAAATGTGTAATTAACAATACACTAAGAAATGGGTTTTAAAATACAAACCGAGAAAAACAGAGCAAGGAAAACAGCAACAGCCTGACCCTGCAGGATGGGGCACAACGTGCTGAACTGCAGCATGAACTTCCTGTTGACAAATGACTGCCTGCCCAGGCATTTTGTCACATCAGCACATCTTTCTCAAAACTAAGTCTAAATGAGGGAAAATACATGCAAGTCTTGTCTTCTTCAGGGGAGCAATCCAGCTGCTACCTGAAAACTAACAGTATGTCTTAAGAGCTCTCCCCGTTTAGATCTGCAACATTTTCTTCTCCTGCCCTCCTTCACCACACACACACGAACTTCCCACGCTTCCTTACTATTCTTGCTGTTCTCTCCATCCTCCATGTCTGGTTTCTGACAATCTTTTAGTTCTAACTCTTCCTGTCCAAGTTCTGTGGGTTTTTCACCATGGTTATCAAAATTTAAGTGCCTTAATGCATGAACAGCTTACTACTGCATGACCAGTGATGAGGATTGGGCCATACTACAGTGGCTGTCGGCGTCCCTACCCTCAGCTCACAGCATACGTTTCTCTGAAGAGAAGGCTACCTTAACTGCCTCGCCACTGACCACAAGATGAGAGCAGATACAGAGTCAGCTACGATGAAGCAATGGCACTGAGAAAGTTAATTAGCATCACAGCCATCCCTGATTACATATGCAATTAAATCATGCCATACACCATCCTGCCTTGGCATCTGTTTGCAGGCAACTGTTGTGTACTCAGGACTAGTTTTAAAAACCTCAACTATGGTTGGTTCTAAGCAAATCACTTGGAATTTCCACTTCAGTTTCACCACTAATCCCTCTGAGCCTTTCTGCCTGCCAGTTCAAATGATGAATGTGGACTTGCCGCTTCTGCCCATCACTGGTAGCAAGTTCCATTCTCAGGTTTTTTCAGGCACCAGAACAAAGGTTTAGGGAGCGAACATCAGTAGTGACCTCAGGCCAAAAATCGTGCTGAAACAAAATCAAATCAAACAAAACCCAAATCCAAACAGACAATAAAACAGAATATTTATTATTCTTTGTTTCTAACCAGAAAAAAAAACAAAACAAAACAAAACAAAAAAACAAAAAATGAAAGCGGAGGAAATCAGCCAACTCTAGCCCAAACTTTCACGAGAATCAAAACATTGATTGATCTTGGCATGCCCTTTTAGATGTATTTGCTAACTCAGGGAATAAGGTGGCTTTTCTGTGCTCCTGTGTACATGGAAACAGTTACTATTTTGTTTCACTCCTAAAAGCGATGCGTCAGAGCCAGAACAAACCAACTCACCTACCTCCTCCTGTTTGGCTCCGTATTTTCGTAATTCAGGCAGGAGGACTGCCTTTTCTTTGGACGTCTCCTCTGTGATGGTGTTTTGGGCATTAATTCAGGTTCAGCCCCAAAGTTGCTGTTGAGCAGAGAAACGCAGAAGACAGATTGCTTCCTCCCTCTACCTAAAACAATACTATCCACAAAATAAGGGTCACTCATCAAGAAGGATGAGTGTTGGGTGAGAAACAAGCGAGTGAAGTGCACCAGCCACCTGG